CTGTGCGAGAGCTGAGCAGCACACTCTCCGGAACCTGTCTCTTATACACATCTAGATGTGTATAAGAGACAGCACACACACACACACACACACACACACACACACACACACACATACGCACGCAACCGGAGATTCACTCATGCAGAAGATGTCATGAGCCATCTGGCTGTCAATCCCCGCTCTCTCTCACACAGACATTCATTGTCAGCATTCGCTTCTGATCGGGAGTCGTTTGCAGTCTCGCTTTCCTCAATGTCTCTGCCAGATACAGACACGGTCCCACACAAACACCGAGTACACACATTTCGCTCGCACGCGTTCGTTATTGACAAAATCGCATAATTCTTATACCACGAGACTGCATTCAAGCGTACGATAACTGAAACACCCGTCATCATCATCATCATCATTATTATGACCACAATCATCATCATCATCATCATCATCATCACTATCTGAATGGAGAGCAACGCACCTGCAGAGCCTCTGCCTCGGCCGGCGAAAAATGCCTCAGAGCGTGGTGTTCTCTAGGCAAACATGACAAATAGATATGCCACGTGGAGGATTTTCCCTTTGACACTTCATGAAGTAAATGAATGACGAGTACCTGTCACAAACCAAATCCCCACCGCAATCTATTATCAACCATCTCCGACACGGAAAACGATATGTGCACCTCCAAAGAACTCCAGGAAACGATATCGAATTCGACGAATAATAGTGATTCACTACTCTCGACGAAAAATCATGCCCTACTCATATTATAACAACAACAAGACAAGAAACCAAACACTTAGTCAATTCATCCTTACCGAGTTATAGGCAGATGTACATGTAGAGAGGCACATATATATAGATATATAGATATATAGATGATTGTACGGTCAATTTGTTTTCGCTTTCAAGTTTGTGAAAATCAAAAGAGGTATTAAACTGCTGAGAAAAGACTGTTTCCTCCCCGAATAGAACGGAGCCAGGACCATAATAAGGCCTGTTTAACCAAAAAAAAAAAAAAAAAAAAAAAAACAGATGGCACTATCCAAGTTGCTAAGTAAGTAGTCGTTATTGTCAAAAGTAAGCAAAGAAAAAAAAAGAGCAAACAGAAACTGTAAGCGATATGCATCTTCTCGAGTACAACATAAACCCCAATACCCTAAACCCTAACTCACTACACAGCGAAGGAAGGGAAGGAGGGAGGGAGGGAGGGAGGGAGGGAGGGAGGGAGGGAGGGAGGGAGGGAG